GTATAATCTTTATAATATTATTTATGTATAACCATTAATTATTTTTAATTATACCAATGCGAATTTTAATATTTACCCGTACATATATAAATTAAAATGTTAATTATAATGATAAAATCCAGCACATTTCCAGCACAGCATGCACAACAATATAATATCAATTAACTTAAATACAAGTATGTTGTATAATAATAAAAATGTGAAACAAATTAACATAAAATGCATGAATTAATATGAAGGCATCAGTAGGTGCACCGATTTTAAGTCGTAAGATTTTAAACAAAAGTTAAGCGAAAAAAAATTGCGCGATAATTAAGAATAATTAAAGCGGTGAAAAAAGTGTTAAATTTAAATTTGTTAACTTATCGATAAGAAGAAGGAAAGAAAAATAAAGAAAAACAATTAAAAACTACCGCCATTTCATTGAATATAGCGACCAAATAAAATGGATGCATACTTCACATAAAATTGCATAAATAAAAGTGCCCACCTTCAGTTCATTTTCATAATGACCAACAATAATAAACAGAAAAAAAAAATTCAAATGCAGTGCATTCATAATGCTTTTAAGTACTTTATTTGGCACAAGGTGATAAAATATAGCAATTTTTGTTGTTATCGTATTTTGTTTATTTATTTCATTTTTTTTTTTCAAACAATGCAACATCGAAAGGAAATTAAAGGTGGGGTGGGGTCAGTATAATAGGACGGTAGCAACCTTAAAGAAAACAAATAAAATTTTTATTTGTTTTCCACAACAAAATTGCATTAAAAAAACAATGAAATTTTTTTTCTTTTTTTTTTGGTTCTTGTTTTCGTTTTGAGTATAGTTATTAAAATTGTTAAGTTAATTGGAAAATATTTATTTATAAATTTTTAGGAAAATGTGACAAAAATTATTTTACTTATAATTTTTAAGTTATGCGATTTAAAGAGAAAAAAAAGAAGAGGCACTTAAGTTTTTGGAGTCAAGGAGGGTTGCAGATGCACAAAAATTTCAAAATTATTATAAAGTTTGGTGCATCTAGCTTCAATTTCTAATTAATGATTGTCATTTGAAAAAATTTTCTCATATTTTTAAATACACAGTGAAATGTGTTCACTAGCAAAAGTATGAGAAACTTAACTTTTGGATTTCACCGCAGGGCATCGAAAAAAATAATAACAAAAAATTTCGAGAAATTTCGAGTTTTATAAAAAAAATTTGAAAAACAAAAATTCTGGCTTTGATGTGCTGTATCTCGCAAATTATGGCTCAATTCAAATTAATTGTAAGAGAAATAAAGAACAATCAATTGCCTGTAAAACAAGCTCCTAATGATAATTCTATGTTTTATGGTTCTGAAGTTATGAACATTTATTTATATGCAGCAAAAGTCTGGTACCTTTTTTTTTCAACAGACTGTAACTCGAAAACGAGTATATCCGACCCTCCGCCCCCTCATTTCCCATCACTCATACAATTTTTTGCTGGAAATTGATCAAAGAATCATCCCTTAAATTATTTGCCACCTTATGCAAGACACCTTGTATATGAAAATTTCGAAATAAAAACTACTTTTAAATAATTTCTTTACTTATTCTTAAAGTTTTAGCACCTATACGACTAAGTCAAACAAATTGAGAAATTAAGTTTTTATATTAAATTCAAACAACAGGTTTAAATCCTTGTATTGCATACTTATTATATTATACATTTAAAGTATATCAAAATATTATAAGATCCATATGAATTTAAATGAACTAAAGATTTTTAGTCCTTATCTAAAACCAAATTCTATTTTGTAGATTTAGAAATCATGTAAATATACATGTTAAACCTATAACATGTTATAATCCCTGGAGGGTTAATAATTATGAAAGTTATATAGCCATTTAAATCGATACTTCTTTTTGTCGTCACCAACAATTTTCAACTGGGATTTTTGGGGTTAAATATTCATTTGTATTTTTTTCTGCCCCCGAGAGTAACTTGGTATACAGATCAACCCTATTTATAAATTAAAAGTATTAAAAAAAAAAATTTTTTGTAAAATAATTATTAGGAAAATTCATCATTATTAAATTGAAAATTTGAGAACAATATAGTTCGCCTATTTGCAAAATTAATTCGTAATTGTGAAAAATTTAATGAATTTTTAAAAAATTAATTTTTTATAGCTTTTCGTTTAGTACTTTTCGATGTACATAATTCTATTTTAGATGACCTTCAAACGAAAATATTTTTTCTATTATTATTCGTATTAGAAATTTTTATACAATAATCATATATATATAAATTGTAGCCACTTAGCCTGTGTTATCTTAAAAATCCTAATGTAATAGCCAACCTTTTCTATTTATTTAAAATATTATTATACATTTGCATGTTTATTCTTCTATTAAAGTTAATTTACTACCATATGCAGATTATTTTCCCATTGTTTTTCTTTTTTTATAATTTAACAATAAAAAATACCTTTAAAAAAAAATAGAAAAAAAATAACAATCAGACATGTGTTTTGTATGTGTGTTTTTTTTTTTTTCAAAATACTTACATATTTATAGATATAATTATTTTAATGTACATATGTATGTATATGTGTAGTCTTATAATAGTTTTTTAACATTTTCAAGGTCAAATTTAATGAGATAAATTAGTATTTCATGTGTACTCCATGTTATTTGTCGTTACTATTTGTTTTTCTTTTCAATTTTTTTTTTTATAGTCTAAATATGAATCAATTCCATATGCGATTGCAATTATTTCAATGTCATTTTTGCACCTTAAAAAAATAAAAAACATTTTTTTTTTATTTTTTATATATTAAAAATTATGAATTTTAATTAAAAAAAGAAAACATCAGCGCATATATACATACACGTACAGATGTGCATTTTTACTTTGAAATTAACATTTAACCCTTTAGGTACAAGGGTTGTTTTAGAGTATTTTAAACTTTGATACTTATTATTGCACGCAAAAATAAATTAATGTAAATTTCATGTCAATGTCAATTTAGGTTTGTGTCTTTGCTTAAAAATTTATAAAATTACCTATTTTTGCCAGAGTGTGTACAGTTAACTATTTGATATTCAAGAATAAATACGTATTACAACAATACACAAAATTCAACAATAATTTTCTGAAAAAATTTTTTATAATTATAAGTACTTTGCCGAAATTAAATTCTAAACCTTTTTGCAAAAATTGGAATCGAAATACAAAAATTTCACCACAGAACAGTTGAACTATAACAACTAAGTACAAAGCTCTCAGAATTTTGACATTTCACTCTTGATTACCTTTAATTAATTAAATATTTACAAAATACATTAATTTATGTGGAATTCATAATTCCATAGCAAAAGAGTAATTAACACTAATAAATGTAAATTACTTTAAATTTAAAACAACCCCTGCACTAAAAGAGTTAATTATTTTGAATTTCCATTTTAAATTTATTTAATTTTTGTCTGTTAAAGTTAAAAAATTTTTATTTTAATATTTTAAATGCATCTAATTAAATCTAAGTCATTTCCAATTTTATTAAAATGTAAATGATAACATTATTAACATTAATTATTTTATTCTATTCTAAAAAGGAGAAAAATTAATATTATTTAAAATAGGCTTAAATTCCAATGAATTACAAATTATCATTTAGATTTAATTATTATGTACTTTACTAAAAGTAGGTGGTAATTTGTTTTAGTGTTTTTAGTTACTCTCATTTTCAGTTTTGAATTCTCTTTATAATAAAAACTCTTGAAGTTTAGCTATAATTACATATATGAATGTTTTCAAATTTAAGTTGTTGCCGTGGATGGTTGTACAGATTTTCTTTTTAATTAATTCAAAAACTAAATTTGAAATTAAGACTTAATTTTGCATTCGAACATTTTTTATCCTTAACTTGAAAATTTACTTAAGATACAAGAGGCAAAGCATTTATATATTACGATATTTAAGTTTTAAAAATAATCAGGGTACAAAGCAGCACTTCAGAATTGCAAAGTTTGAAATTTTGTATAGTGAAACAACAGTAATAACTCAAATCCGTTGTGACGCCCAGTTTTTTTTTTGTCAGTTTTGTAGTGTTGCTTTTCCTTCATTTTGTGAATTAAAGTGTTTTTTTTTTTGGCTTCTAAATTTTGAAGAGTATTTTTTCATTCTGAATAGGTTTATTGTTATTCAAATTTATAATGAACTTTTAAGAACTATTAAACTTGATTTTTGTAGCAGTCATTACTTCGTAACAACACAACTAAGTTCAAAATGTTACATTAAAATAATTGGCACAACACTACAAGACCTTTAAAGTAATACTAACTTAGTAAATTTAAAATATAGCAAATATTAAAAAGTCCATTTAAGTTTAACTTACCTATGCTTAATTAAGTTTAACTTACCTATCTGTTTCTCAGTTAAAAAATGTTTGGTATTTGGTAATAATTGCATCACTTATCGATTTATTAAACTATCCTAAGCATAATTATTTAGTTTATGATTTAAATTGTGCAAGTATGATGTTTTACAATAAAAATAATCTTATTTGACTCAAGGTTATACAAACTTTTAAAAGAAAAACAATTGACGTTTACTTGGAAAACTTTATTTGTTAATATGACAATTTTCCGAAGAATAAATGAAACACTTTTACTAAAACTTCAAATTTAAATGTCGTTCTTTTTAAATAATTAATTTTTATTGTAAAAAATGCATACACCTATGTGCACTCCCTTAATATTTCAATATTTTTTTAACGTTTAAGAAATTTAAATAAGATTTATTGAAAAGGTAAGAAAGAAGAATTTTTATGAACCTATAAAATTTTAGTTAAAAAATATTTTATATTAGGAAAACAAAATTACTTAACTAAAAAACCCATAATAGAAAAATGTTAACTACGTTACGTAATGAGTGAATAATTTTAAAAAATTTTAATTAAATTTTACCTTTAAAACCACAGATTTATTATTATTTTTTTTTATATAATATGTTTTCTTTTTTTTTTCAGGTAAGTCCATCATTATAAAGTACTAGTTTTTTTTTTTTGTTAACAATATGGAAAAAAAATATTCCGTGACAGGTATGCCATTTAAATTGTATAATTGATTTTGTTATTTATTGTTTTTTTTTTATTTTTCTGAACAAATTATAATTTTCCTCGCTAAATTTGTATTTATACAATAATTTTTAGTATAACGTTGTGTTTGTGTCTATTGAAAAGAAATGATTTTTTTTAAAATAATGAAAGGGAGGAAAATTTAGCATCTAATTTGATTGCAAATGAACTTAAATAATTGGATATTAGTCTTAAATAATTGGAAGCTTAGCGATAGTCTTTCATGTCGAGGGAAAGATGTTTTCGTCGTCCTTGTGATAATTTCTTTAAAAAAAAAATTGGGAAATTTTATAATTTAATTTTCATTTCATTCAGAGAAACTTCGTAATCTTAAGTGTTATATTTATAACAGCAGCTTTAATTAGTTGGTCTCTATTAAAATTTAAATTTTAAAGTGTGTCTAATTCATTAGTCTTGGAGAAATTTTCAATGCTTGCAATTAACGATTTGATAATTTTGATTAACTATATTGTACAATAAAATCATTGAAATGCGAAATGGTTTATCTCCAAAAATAAAATTTCAAGAGGTAGGTCACTGTATATAGTCACTAATATAAAAGAGCTATCACTATTTTGACTGGAGAAGATATCAGTACTTCTTTATCTGACTTCTTTTCCTTTTAACAATCTCCCTATTGGTATTAGATTTGGTAATAATAATGGTCACTGCATCACAAGAGAACACATTAGACTGAAAAGAATTTTTCCTTTTAAAATGTTAATATTGCAGTAGCAGTTCCTTGAAGATTGTTACTGCTACTAAGATTTTTAAGTATTTTTAAATTGATGACAAATAGTCTTACTTTTATTTCAAAAATTCATTCTCATACTAATTGTATTTTTTGAAAAGAAATTGTAACACATTGTTTAAAAAATTAAAAGCTCTCAAATTTTCTGTTTCATTCAAAGTGAACCAAAAAAAGAATTTTCTATTAAAGAATTGTTTGAATATTTAAAAATAAGAAGAGATAAAAATTAGATCTTAGTTCTTTAAAGGCATCATGTGCTTAATTCTAGAATCTAAATATTCAATAACAAATTTTATTAACCTTATTTGCTTATTTGACAAAGCGACTTCTTGAAAATTTTCAATAACTTATTCTAATTTTGAAATCAAAAACTAATATTAACCTTATACAGAATTCTTTGTTATTTTATTTTTAATCTAGATATTGTATTGAACCATATATTAAATGTAAGATATATTAATATTTTCATAATATTAAAATTAAATTATATGTAGAACTCGGAATAAACTAAATACACATACGAATGTACATATTGTTGTTTCTGTGTCGTATGTTCATACAGAATGTCCATGACATCCATATTTAACCTCATACACGCACCTTGAGGAATTTTTTTCTCTATTTCTATATATATATATATTTTTTTAATTTAATAAAAAGCTAATGATCATTTATAGCACAATTTATTCGCTAAAAAACAAAATTAAAATACAAAAATGTTTTAGAATAAAACATTTTTCTTTGTTGAAGGACAACATTAAATTAGACCTTGATTAGAAGATCAAAATCAAAGTATGCATTATGCATGAACATATATACATATACGTTAAGGTTATCTGGCTAAAACGCACATTATTTTACAATCAAGGACAAATGAAAAACATAAAATTCTTATAAAAATGTTTAGAAATTAATAAATTATTTCTTTTTTTTTGTTTTTAGGTGATAATTAAAATAGTTTTGAAATTTTTAATCAACTTATTGCAAGAAATATGAAAATGAAATCAGTTGATTTATCATAACTAAATTTGAGAAGTCAAAATGAAATTTCGATTTTGTAATCTAAATCCTACATAGAACGAACAGTAAAACCATAGATTTATAATTGATTAGGCGGATGTATATAAGAACGTGATTTATTTTCCATTTTATCAAATTCATTGTGATTCACAGATGGTAAATTAAAATAATAGAATATTTTACTTTTAATACGCATATTTCTAAACTTATTGCGAAATACATTATAAACAGAAAATTTTTTCTATCTATATAGAGAACTGAAACTCTAATGTAACATTTTTTTTAAACTAAAGTGAACTTAAACCCTTAAAAATTCGGTTTAATTTGAAATTTCGAAGAAAATTTTATATTTGCGGGCTTCAATGCAATAAAAGTTAGCATATTAAAACTTAATATCAATAATAAAATAATAATCTAGCCCAAAATCAATTATTCTGGAACTTCAGACCCAAACTCGAATTCTTTAAAATTTTAAACGGCGATCTGAACCAGAAATTTGTAAGATTCAAACCATGTTTCGTAAGAGTTTCAGATCGTATTTATTTCAAAATCCAATTTCTTTTTTTGGGTTATATTTTGTAAATAATTGCTAAACACCTTTATAAGCGTATATACATATCTTTAAGATTTTAACCAAACTGCATTCAATCTAAATATTGTGAAATGATAAATCAAAAGATGTCAGTTTACAATAATTTACAAAAATTTATTTAATGCAAAAGTAATTTAAAATATTTTTTCCCTTCATTCTCATTTTAAATATTTTATTCACATTTGATTTAATTAAAATAATTAGAAAAGCAAAATATAACAAAAAACAAGCTATCTGCTGTTAACTATCATTTCCTTAAAATCAAGAATTCTCAATCGACCATATCGCAACAAAAATATTATGCACAATCATGACAACAATTTAAATTACATGCTAACATCTATATCTACTTATTTTTCTAAATTCTAAAATATGCAACTGGCATGTTAGCAAAATTAAAAAAAAAAAAAATTGAAAAATAATTCAGCAATTAAATTCAAAATTAAGTTCTGAGATTGCAATTTCCATAAAAAATAACAAAAAACAAAAACTACAAATAGAACAATAATACAAAAAAAAAAAACCACAAGCTTTTTTTTCCATTTTTTGCTGTCATGATTGTTATTATCATTTTGACCTCTAAATTAAATTATTACTCTTTAAGCTGGTTGTGTTATAAAATGTCATCTTTTATAATACATATACTCCTATCTCAGCTCACACTCGCATATAATTATTTAAGTACTTTAAAATTCATCATCCTCTCAATCCTCTCACCATCATCTTTAATAGTTCTCCATTTATGTACAATTTATTTTTCATGTTAAAAATCTAATCACATTTTTAGAACATTAGTGGATTAAAATAAGTATACGGTAAAGTAGAACAAGAGCACGGTAGAGTTGAGTTGAGAAGATACACAAACACAATATATAAAGCGAAATTATTCAAAAAAGCAAAAACAATTTTTATTTTTTTTTTTCTATTTTTAATATTTTTTATTTATTTATTCATTTCTGATTTTGTTTTTTTATTAACCTTGACTTATTCTGTACTTTATAAATATGTATGTATGTATATACGTTTATATTACATAATAAATATTTACACAGTTTAATTTTAATCTTAACCTTGTAACTATCATTTTTCAATAAAAACTTAGACCTTGTAGCAAAAATCATAATAATAGTAATAGTTATAAGACTATAGAGTAAAAAGCTGTTAATGGCAAATAGATTTTAAGTCAATGTTTTCACATTGAATAATTTCTTCAATTTTTAACCTTAAATTTTTTTTTTCTGTATTTGCTTTCTCTATTACTCTACCTGATTGCTTAATGGGTTTCTCCTTTTCTAATTCTATATTTTTATTTTTTTTTATATGGAATTTAATTTAAGTAGTATTTTTTTAGAAAAAAAATTTTTAGTTTAAATGAAAATTGCAAATATCTGAAAAAGAAAAAAGAAAGAAAGAGACAAAACTTAAGCGAAAAGAGTAAAGAAAAATTAAAACGAAAAGAAAACCAAAAAACGCAAAAAAAAATGTAATAATTTTCAAAGTTAATCAAAGTTAAAAATCAAGTGATCTAAAGTTTGAGTTCAAATTCTCTTTGCCATACAGAAATAACAAGAATAATGAGAAATAAAAAAAAATGAGAGAAAAAAAAATAAAAGCAACAAAAAATATTGTATAAGAATTGATTAAAATTGCACTTGACTGCAATTTTATTATACAGTAGAACTCTAATTGTACAAACTTTTTTAAATTATAACAAATATGAAAAATAATTTAATAATTCATTAGAAAATTTATATTGGATAACTTAATTATTCAATTAGCTATTAGGAGTGTAGTAGACAATTACCTGTATTGCGAATATCTTTTTTTTTCATTTTAATTTGAACTTCGGAAAGTGCTTTATTCTTACCAATAAAGGCCAAAGCTTTTCTAAAAAACGATTAATTTATTTAAGTTTTCAAATCAAATGTGTTTTTTGGTTGCGAGCGTATTTCAGATTCTAGACCTAGAATCCAAAATTTTTCGAAAAAAAAAAAAAAAAATCTGATGTGGTCAGCACATAACCGACCGCATTGTGTATTGTCTAGTTAAATGAAAGTGTTACAGAATATTATAAAAATGTCTGTTAAATACTTCGTTCCAATTTTTAAGACATTAGTAAGCTTATAGTTAACATACTTAGAAAAATGTAAATTTGGCTCTTAGTAGAGTTTTGCTTTGTGCTACCCGAATTCCCTGAAATGCTCGCCAGTTAGTTTCGGTAACAACCAGAACTCAAATATCAAATTTCAAGAAATTCCATAAATTTGTTCTGTGGATATGGTAAAAAATGTAAAATCGGCCCGCAAATCAGTTCTCGAGCCCTGATCTTTCCAAAAAATTTACATGTTCATTGTTTTAATACGAGGAATTCATGTATTAAATTTCAATGAAATCGGTTGATTATTTCTCTTTATATACACAAAAATGTATATTTGGCCCGTAGTAAACGCCCAGTTGCTGATGCCTGATTTCTTCCAAAAGTTAGGAATTTTTGCGTATGATCGAGCAAAGCTTATATATGAAATTTCAAGTAAATCGGTTGAATACTTTCTTCAAAATGGTGAGAAATGTAAAATCGGCCCGCTAAAAAGTGCAGTTCCC